ATCACCAGCGAGCATAGGAGCTGCCACGGCCACATCAGCTTGCGTTCGCATTCGTTGAACAGATCCGCGATGGCCTGCCTGCCCTCGGGCGGACGCCTCAAGTCGCTGCAGCTGAGTCTGTCTACCCCTTGACCTCGATTGGGCTCGCCCTTCAGCGCCGAGTCCAGGTCCTCCAAACTCCAGACGCTCTCCTGCGTCTTCATCACCTGCCTTCTCAGCTCCGCCAGGATGGCGGTGTGCATCTCGTGTGACATCTGGCTGTTGCTCCAGATCTTGCGTAAGTCCGCCGCCTTTGAATCCACTATGTCCACCGGGCAGTCGATGGCGTCGCCCTCCTTAGCGATCTCCTCCTCTCTGCGACAAGGCGGCTTGGTGATGCGGTGCAGAACTCCTGGCTTTGCTTCTGTGTGCGCAAGTCACTGGCAGAAGCTTCTCGTGCTTGCCCTGCGGTCACGCCTCACTACCGCTTGCCTCTCTGCCTCGGCTTGCATCGCCATTCCACTGATGACGTCGTCTGGGATCCCCTCCAACCTTCGGAGCTTGTACCTCCAGATCTGGTAGTGTAGCAGCGCAGTGTCTGATGGTGAGCCCTGCAGAGGTGGCATGGTGTGCGCCAGCGTGCGCCCGGCACGCGCCAGCTCCTCCTGTTGCTTCTGTCCTCTTCCTCTCGTCCCCAGCTTGTCCAGCAGGCTCAGCGCGTTCTCCACTCTGGCCCACCAGTCCGCCCTCTTGTCCTTCAACTTCAACCTTGTCTCGCCCTTAGCTCTGTTGTCGCTTTCCTCCAGCTTGTAGCCTTGGCCTCTACCCATGAACCTTCTTCTGCCTCCTGGGTCTATCCTGTAGGCCATGCAGTCGAAGCGCTCTACAGTGTTGACTGTCTTCTCGAACATCTTGCCGAGTGCTCGAGCGTCCACCTCGCTGACCTGGTACGCCTCGTTCGTACTGATGTAGTCAGGCGTCTCCGTGTCGTGGGAGTTCCCGTCCTTTATCAGGTTTTACCGCTTCCCAGACTTGGCCAAGAGTTGTAGTGTCTCGGCCTCCAGTCGTCTTCTTGATCTCATCCGTCTTCGCCTCGGTGGTGTTCACTGCTGTGGCCTGCCCCTCGGCTGCTTCTGCCTTGGTCTCCTCGGCATCCGCCCGGGGCCTCCTCTCTGGGCCCCTCTCGATGCTGCGCTGCTCCTCCTCTGGGTGCTGCGCCTCCTCGCTGTCGGCTCCTCCTCCTGCCGGGAGGCTGTGGGCCTCGAGGCCCTCCAGGTCCTGCGGTCCCCTCTCGTCGATGCTGGAGGACTGGCGGATCTCGTCGAAGGCGTCGATGCCCTCGTCGCCCATCGTGGGTCGCCTGTTGCCTCCTGGCCAGGGCCCCAGCGACCCGCCGCTAGGCGTCGAGGGGCTTCCCGAAGCAGGGGGAGGCCACGGTGGTCTCCCGCGAGTCGACCTCCGGCTCGCCCGCGGTGCGTGTGGCTCTCGGCCCATCTTCTCGCCGTGGGCTGCCCTCCGAGCCGTGCCCTGGCTGGTGGTACCCCATGCAGGGGTGAGACGGCCATCCGCCGCTCGGTGTCAGTGCTTTCCCATCCTCTGTTGTCCAGGCTGATCTCCTCCTCGATTCTGGGTGGTGGCTGCTCTGGGCTTGCCGCTTTCGCCGCCCTTCTGCTCGCTGCTGTGCTTCTCTCTGGATCTGCCTCTTCCTCGAGCGCTTGCTGCTGGGCGTGGGCTGTGTCTACGGTCACGGCGGGTGCGGGAAAGCCCTCGGCATGTTCAACCTCCTCTTCTTGGTTGCCTGCGCTTCCCCGTGGAGCGTGATCTTGATGCCGATGTGGGGCTTCCAGAAGACTGCCTCTACGCCTTTGACCAAGCTTGCGCCTTCTTGTCGATGTTCGACTGGCTGTTCTCCGCGAAGCACGTGGTCTCCATCAGGGAGGGTGATGAGCTTGGTGGCTCCCACCGCCTCTGGCCAGCCCGACTCCCACAACTCCTGGGGTTCCTTGTTGAAGTCGCCGCAGACGATCCAGACCCCGCGCCGGCCTCGGATGAACGCCGCTATGCTCGTCACCTTCCTGCTGTCGATGCCCTCCTTCAGCGGCTGGCCCGTGCCCAGGTAGAGGCTGATCACCGTGATGGACGGGCCCTTCAGGTGCCAGGTGACAGGCGTCCAGTCGCACATGTCCACGTCCTTCGCATGCTTCCCTATGCTGGTCGTGGCCGCGGTGGTTGATCCAGGCACGGCCCTCGCTCTGAAGCTGGTAGCTCGTAGTTGACCTCGGAGGATGACTGCTGTGCCTCCGCTGGTCCCGTGTTCTGAGCCCGCGCTCGTCCTCGCTGCCGTGAAACAGGGCTTGTATCCTGTCTTGACAAGCCACTGCTCCTCCTTGTCCAATGCTTCTCCCCCTGGGATATGCGTCTCCTGGAGCGCGCAGGCGTCGTGGCCCTGCTCCTCCTTCTGCTTCTCAAACGACTGCCGCGCAGTGGGTCCCCACGTGGTTAGGTTGGCGCTGAAAAGTGTGCTCTCTCGGACCTCGCCGCCGCTACATAGTTTACGGCGAGCTCCTCGCGCCTGGCGTCAGCTATTGGCGCTCTCTGCGCCCTTACCCCCTCCCTTAGACTCACGGAGCTCACGAAGGTACTCCTCTGCTGCTTCGGGTGGGGGTGGTGCGCTGGCTGCCGACGTTCTGCCTCCGCCTGTGTCTCCTGCTGCCTCTTCTGGCTGTGTGCGGGCAGGGTCTCCGCTGAAGGTCATGCCTTGGCCTTCCTCCTCTTCGCCGCCTGCGTGATCACCCTCTTCTGCTCCTGCGCTTTCTCCTTGGCCGTCGCCAGGTGCTCGCGCAGCTGGCCCGTGAAGTTCTGCGCGTTGGCCTTCAGCTGCGCCACCACCAGCTCCTTGGCTGCAGCGACTTCCTTCCGTGCCTCATCCTCCTCCGCCAGGTCGAACTTCTTGGCCACGTCTGCCAGCAGCTGGCCCTCTGAGAGGTTGTCGACCGCGCCGCTGATGAGCTGCTCGACTATGCCTTGAGGGGTCTTCGCCGTTTGCTTCCCCTCGGCGTTGATCTTCTCGATCGTGTCCTCAGCCTCCAGCAACGCCTCAGCCTTCTCCGCGAGCCAGGTATTCGCCTTATCGGCCGCGTGGTCTGCCTCCTGCTTCGCCTTGAAGGCCGCTGCGTACTGTCTGTTGGCCGTCTCCAGCGTCCTGGCCGCGGCGGCGAGCCTTACCGCTCTCGGCTGCTGGGGCGTCGCCGCTGGTGTGGCCGCTTGGAGCGCCGCCGTTGCCCCCGCAAGCTGCTTCCTGATGGCCTCTCCGTTCGCAATCTGAATGCCGCTGAGGGTGTCGGTGACCATCTGCAGTGCTTGGGCGACCTCGGCTGCGTCAGCCTTGCCCAAACCCTTGGCGCCCTGCTGGCCTCCGCCTGCGCCGAGGAGGGCGAGTAGCTGCTGTGGCTGGCGCTGCTGCTGCTGCTGCTGCTGCTTCTTGGCTGCCTCGCCTGCGCCAGGCAGCAGTTGGCCGCAGGAGCACGTGTACTGCATGTCGTATAGGCGGTCCGCATACCACCACTCCGAGCATCATTTGCACACCACGTAGTCACCTGTGTTGGCGACACTGTTCTGGCCTCCACTCCACTCGCCAGCGCTACCGCTGCTGCCTCCTCTTCCGTGCCCGTGCCAGCTCTTGTCCTGGCCGCTGTAGTCACTGCTGTACCAGCTGCTCTGGCCTCCTTTGCTCTGGCTGCCCTTGCTGCCACCGCCGCGCCCCATCTGCGGGATCGCGCTGCCGTGGTGCTCCGCGAGCACGGACTGCAGCTTCACCGCCTGGAGCACCTGTCGTGCGGTCGCTCGCAAGCGGCGCTGGCGTCGGTGCCAGGCTGATAGCGGACTGCGCCGCCTCACTCTCGGCGCGCTGGCCCTCGAACCCTCCTCCGTGGGTCCAGAGCGGGCTCGCGCCCGAGGCGCTGGGGGCTGCCGCGATGGGTCCGCCGCGCCCTCCCGCCCGGTGGGCGAAACGGCTGCGGGCCCCCCCTCGGAGCCACCTAGGAGTAGGAGGAGGAGGAGGAGGAGGAGGAGGAGGAGGAGGAGGAGGAGGAGGAGGAGGAGGAGGAGGACGAGGACGAGGACGAGGACGAGGAGGAGGAGGAGGAGGAGGAGGAGGAGCAGGATAATATTGTCTGCATGCGCGTCCAGCGGGGGGCGGACCAATGATGTGCAGGTGGGGCTGATGTGTTCTCCTATATTTGCAATGTGTGCTCAAACATCGGCGGTGAGCGAGGGGGGAAGTGAGAAGGAGAAGTCCTTCTCTGAAGGCAGTGGGACGTCTTAGAATCCCTCGCGCCTTCTGAGAGGTTTTCTTCTGTCCTCGGGGAAGGCTTGGAACACTTCTCACAAGTCGGGAAGACTTCCGAGCCGTCTGAGAAGGAGGAGAAGGAGGAGGCGGAGGAGTTGGAGTAGAAGAGGAATCGGGGAGCACCGGAATGAGTTGAAGAGGAGATGATCCCACAAGGATTCGTCAGCCAGAGTTGGTTATGAGTGGGTTATGCAGCCGGGGGTCATCAGCACCATCATTGGTGATGACGATGGTCATGAGGATGCAGGTGTGGAGATGGTGGTGATGGGGAGGGGATTGAGGGGGGACGATGCTGACGATGATGATGATGATGATGATGATGATGATGATGATGATGATGATGATGATGCTGATGATGATGATGATGATGATGATGATGATGATGATGATGATGATGATGATGATGATGATATGATGATGATGATGATGATGATGATGATGATGATGATGATGATGATGATGATGATGATGATGATGATGATGATGATGATGATGATGATGATGATGATGCTGATGATGATGCTGATGATGATGATGATGATGATGATGATGATGATGATGATGATGATGATGATGATGATGATGATGATGATGATGCCGATGACATGCAGATGATGACGATGACGATGACGAGAAAGAGCAGCGCAGTCGCGCGCACCTCCCCCAGCGGCAGGCTCCCCTGCCGACGCCTCTGGCTTCGGCCTGTCGCCGAGCCGGCCGCCGCGTCAGGAAGGCTCAGGCGGCTCAGGCGCGGCTTGCCCTGGCTGCAGGGAGGAGGAGGAGGAGGAGGAGGAGGAGGAGGAGGAGGAGGAGGAGGAGGAGGAGGAGGAGGAGGAAACAGGAGCGAGGATCTGGGGGGAGGATCGAACCGCGACGATGGATGTTGAGGGGAGGAGGAGGAGGAGGACGAGCAGTAGGCCAAACATGCACAAGCGGTGCTGCAGGACACCCTCTCGTCCGAAGCCCCGTCCCCACACGCCCCCACAAGGCGCCCACTTCACTACGGTGCGCGCCAGCCTCGAAAGACCAGCGCAGCTGGGCCTGCCAGTTTGGCGAGGGTTCCACTTAGAAAAGGCAGCTACTTTGCATTAAGTCAGGCCGGTCCCTCTACAGGAGGACTATACAGCAAATAATTTATAAAGATGCTTGGGAACGTTGTTTCGGGTATGTTTGACTATTTGGGTGTGTGTTTGACTACTTCTAATGTTTCGTCCAAAATCAGCCTGTAGGAGGGCATGCCCGACCTAAGCCTTGCATCTTTCCTGCACCTGGTCAGGAACGCGCGTGGCCAGGAGCAGTGCTGAGGTGTCCAGCGATAGCACACTGTCGAAGAAGGCCTTCGCCCCACATCTATGTGTACATACACACACATCTCTCTCTATATATATATATATATATGTGTATGTATGCATCTACATATTTACACATCATGCATGCTCGCCTCCCCCACATGATCATACAGTTTCGTCATTTCGTATTATTTTTCTTCTTCGTATCTGTCTTCCTCTGCGTTGTCTTAGTTGTCTTCGTATTCAGCTTCTTCTTCATCTTCTTATTCGGATTCTTCCTCGTTCTTTCGTAGGCGACGTCCTCACCGTATTCCTCGCCTGCTGCTGCCGCTCGTGCCCCTTCCTCCCATGAGGATGAGGAGGACGAGGAGGAGGAGGAGGAGGGGGACGAGGACGAGGACGAGGACTAGGACGAGGAGGAGAAGGAGGATGGGGGAGGACAGGAATGGGAAGATAATGAAACATGAGATGGAAGAATAAACATGGAAAGGGGAAGCAATCGCATGCTAGTCCTGTTGTATTGGCTTTCAATAAGAATCCTTTTTGTAGAGGCTCTCACTAGAAATCCTTGTGTCGAGGCTTTCAATAGGAAACATGTTGTAGAGGCCCTCAATCGGAATCCTTGTTGTAGAGGCTCTCAATGGGAATATTTTTGTGGAGGCTCTCAACAGGAACCCTATGCACAGGCTCTCAATAGGAATACATTTGTATTGGGTTTCGACAGGAAACCTTTCTGTATTGGCTTTCACTCGGACCCCTTTTTTTGTAGAAGCTCTCAATGGGAATCCTTGTGTAGAGGCTTCCAGTAGGAATCATTGTGTAGAGGCTCTCACTAGGACTCCTTGCGTAGAGGATCTCAATAGGAATCCGTCTGCGGAGGCTCTCAATAGGAATCCTTTTTTAGAGGCTCTCACCAGGAATCCTTTTGTATGGTTTTCACTAGGAATCCTTTTGTATTGGGTTTCAATCGGAATCCGTTTGTAGAGGCTTTCAGTTGGAAGGTTCCAGGAATCTCGGATTCTGCCCGAGGAAGGTTTTAGGAGGGTTCTCTGAGAAGGTTCCAGGATTCCGGGATTCTCCAGGAGGAAGGTTTTAGGATGGTTTCTTTTGTTTGGAAGGTTCCAGGGATCTTGGATTATTCGTGAAGGTTTGTTTGTTGAAAGGTTCCAGGAATCCTGGATTCTTCCCGCGGAAGGTTTCAGGACGTTTTTTTTGTTTTGTTTGGAAGGTTCCAGGGATCTTGGGTTCTTCCTGAGGAAGGTGTTCGGAAGATTTTCTTTCATTTTTATATAAAATGAAGTTTCCCGGGATCCTGGATTTTTCGCGAGGAAGGTGTTAGGACGGTTTGTTGTAAGGTTTCAGGAATCTTCGCTTCTTCCGGACGAAGGTTTTAGAACGGTTTTCTAGAAGGTTCCAGGAATTTGAACATCTTCCTGAGGAGGGTTTTAGGAAGGTAAAGGGTTTCGACCGGAGTCCTTCTGTAGAGGCTCTCAATGGGAATCCTTTTGTAGCGGCTTTCGCTAGGAATCCTTAGCGTAAAGTCTCTGAATGGGAATCCTTTCGCACAGGCTTCCAATAGGAATCCTTAGTGGCAAGGCTCTCAATAGGAATCCTCTTGCACAGGCTGTCAATCGGAATCATGTTGTAGAGGCTCTCAATAAGAACCCTTCCGTAGAGGATCTCAATAGGAATCCGTTTGTGGAGACTCTCAAGAGGAATCCTTTGGTAGAGGCTCTCAATCGGAATCCTTTTGTATAGGCTCTCAATATAATGATCATGCATTTGCTTTCTATAGGAATCATTTATGTAGAGGCTCTTAGTTGGAATGTTCAGGAATCCTGGGTTCTCCCCGGGGAAGGTTGTAGAACGTTTTTTTTTCGGGGGGGGGGGAGGTTTCAGGAATCCTGGATTCTCCCCGAGGCAGTTTTTTTGTTGTTGTTTTCTTTTCCCCTTTGATATATATATATATATATATATATATATGTATATTGTATATGTATATAGTCTTAATTATTTATTTATGTATATACACATATATACGTTTGATTATTATTATTATGATTATTAGTATTAGTATTATTATTATATCTATGTAGATTGGTTCTTGGTTGGGGAGATTCCAGGAATTATGGGTTCTTCTAAAGGAAGGTTTTAGGACGTTTTTTTTGTTGGACGGTTTCAAGAGTCTTGGCTTCTCATTGAGGAAGGCTTCATGGAGGTTTCGTTTAGAAGGGTCCAGGAATCATGGATTTTTCCATGGGAGTGTTTCGGATTGTTTTAAAGGTTCCAGGAATCCTGGATTCTTCCGGAGGAAGGTTTTAGGACTGCTTTTGTTGTGTAGCAAGATTCCAGGAATCCTGAATTCTTCCCAAGGAGGGTTTTAGTGAGGTAGAAAGGTTTCGTTAGGAGTCCTTCTGTAGAGGCTCTCAATGGGCATCCTTTTTGTGGAGGCGCTCAACAGGAATCCCTTTATAGAGGCTCTCACTAGGAATCATTTTGTTGAGGCTCTCAATAATGAATATTTTATATTGGCTTCCAAGTGGAATCCTTTCGTAAAGGCTCTCGATAGGAATCCTTTTTTCCGTAGAGGCTCTTAGTAGGAATCCTTTTGTAAAGGCTTTCAAAAGGAATCCTTTCTGTAGAGGCTCTCACTAGGAATCTTTTTGTTGAGGCTGTCAACAGGAATCGTTTTGCACAGGCAGGTTTCCAGTAGGAATCCATGTGTATTGGGTTTCACTAGGAATCTCTTTGCAGTGGCTTTCAATCGGAATCCTTTTTTGTAGATGAGGCTCTCACTAGGAATCATGGTGTAGAGGCTTTCAACCAGAATCGTTTTGTAGAGGCTCTCAACCGGAGTCCTTTTTATCGGCTCTCAATCGGAATCCTTTTGTAGAGGTTCTCAATCGGAATCCTTTCGTATTAGCTTTCAATAGGAATCCTTTCTGGAGGGGTTCTCAATAGGAATCCTTTTGTCGAGGCTCTCAGCAGTAATGCTTTTGCACAGGCTACCAGTAGGAATCCATGTGCATTAGGTTTCAACAGGAATACTTTTGTATTCGCTTTCAATATGAATCCTTTTTTTGTTGGTAGAGGTTCTCAATAGGAATTCATGTGCATTCGGTTTCAACAGGAATCCTTTTGTATTCGCTTTCAATCGGAGTCCTTTTTTTGTAGAGGCGCTCAATAGGAATACGTGTGTAAAAGGCTTTCAATAGGAATCATTATGTAGAGGCCCTCAATAATAATCCCTTTGTAGAAGCTCTCCAATAGGAATCCTTGTGGAGGCTCTCAGCAGGAATCCTGTAGCACAGGCTCCCAATAGGAATCCATTTGTATTTGGTTTCATTCGGAATCCTTTTGTATTGGCATTCAGTAAGAATTGTTGTAGAGGCTCTCAATCGGAATCCTTTTGTAGAGGCTTTCAATAGGAATACTTTCGTAGAGGCTCTCATCCGTAATCATTTTGCACAGGCTCTCAATGGGAATCATGTTGTAGAGGCTCTCAGTAGGAATCCGCTTGCAGAGGCTCTCACTAGAAATCCTTTTGTGGAGGCTGTCAATAGGAATCCTTTTGTAGAGGCTCTCAAAAGGAATCCTATTGTGGACGCGTCCAGTTGGACGGTTCCAGGAATCCTGGAATCCCTGGGGCTTCCTGGGGCCTCCTAGGGCTCCCCGATGTTGTTTGGGCCTTGAAAAAAAACAAAGCAGACATAAGGAACACAGCAACAAAAACAAAGAACCAACGACCCACGGTTGAAACACTAAAAAACACAATGGAACACCAAAAACCCCAAAACAAACAAAGTTTGTTGCACTTTTCCCGTGAGGGCGGCGGGGATGGGGTAAGTCTTGTTTTTTTGTTGTTTTTGTTTTTTTGTTGGCTTTTCATTCTGTTTATTTGGTTTTTCAGCCCTGGGTCTCTTTTTTTTTGGGGGGGGGGGGGTTCTCAGTGCCCACGCTCCTGCAGGAGGAGGAGGAGGAGGAGGAGAGGGAATGGGGGGGGCGGAGGAGGAGGGGGAGGAGGATAAGGAGGATGGGGGAGAGGCAGGGGGAGGCTGCCACGCTCCTGCAGGAGGAGGGGGGGGAGGAGGAGAAGGGGATGAGAAAGAGAGGGGGAGAGAGAGAGAAAACGAAAGAGAGTGCAGGAGGAGGAGGATGATAGGTGTGACGCATGGGAGAGGAACATGTGTGATCATGTGGGGTGGGTGGGGGGCGACCCCCCACACACATATATCTATATATACACACATATAGATATACCTATACGACCACCCTTCGGGTGATAAGGAGGTTCGGGGGGGGAGGAACCAACGTCTCACTTGACCGGTCTCACTGTCGATCCCACTATCGATCTCACTATCGGTCTCGCTCGATCGATCTCACTTGATCGATCTCACAATCGATATCACTCGATATTTTTAATTCGTCGATCTGACTATCGATCTCACAATCGATCTCGCTATCGATCTCGCCATCGATCCCACAATCAATCTCACATTCGGTCAAGCTATCGATCTCACTACAGGTATCACAACCGATATTCCAATCAACGTCAGCAGCATCATCATCTACATCGTCGTCATCAACGTCATCAACATCATCATCCGCATCATCAGGACACTATCATCATAACCACCTCATCACCATCATCATCACCATCATTACCATCATCGGGGCACCATCATCGTCATCAACATCATCATCATCGGGACACCGTCATCATCATCATCGGAAAAGCACCATCGTTATCATCATCATCATCTCATCATCATGACCATGATCAACACCATCAACATCATCACCACCACCATCGGACCACCATCGCCATCATCATTCGCATCAACTCCATCCTCATCATCATCGGGACACCATCGTCATCGTCACCATCATAATCATCACCATAATCATCGTCACCAGCAACATCATCATCATCACCATCATTGGGCCACCATCATCAACATCACCATCATCACAGCATCATCATCGTCATCATCACGATCATCATCACCATTGGGACACCATCATCGTCATCATCAACACCATTGTCATCATCATCATCATCATCATCATCGGGACACCAGCATCATCAACAGCATCATCATCAACCTCATCATCATCATCGGAACACCATCACCATCATCTTCATCATCATCAGATCATATTATCATCATCAACATCATCATCATCACCAACAACAGCATCACCATCATCGGGGCGCGGTCATCATCATCATCATCATCGCCAACGTCATCATCATTAACATTATCATCATCGGGGCACCATCATTTTCACCACCATCACCATCACCATCATGATGACCACCGACATCGTCAACATCATCATCATCATCATCATCATCACTACCATCATCGGGACACCATCATCATCACCACCATCACCATCATCATCATCATCATCATCATCATCATTGGGACACCGACGGGACACCGGCGGGACGCCGGCGGGACACCGCGCGCCACCGGCCCCCGAGCGGGACACCGGCGGGACACCGCGGGGCACCGGTTGCCGGAACGGAGACTTTTGGTCCAGCCGCGCTTCAGGTACAGGAGACTTATTCTTCGCCCGCCCACGCAGTTTCGCCTCGCCAGCACGCGCGGCACGCACGAACACGAAACCGAAACCGATTTCCCGGTAGGGGGGCTCTCCGTTCCACTTCGATCTCACCCCCTCACCTCCGATATATATATATATATATATATATATATATATATATATATATGTATATATATAGGTGTGTGTATCATATAGATATATGTATATATATAGGTGTGTGTATCCGTTGCACACGCTGAGCCAGCATCGAAGACGTCCGAAGCGAGAGTTCCACTTTGAACACAAGCCGCCGTGGCTCCGTGCAGCGCTGCGTGCGTCGAGGCATTCCCGACGATAACTCCATGTTGAAAGCGAGCAGCCATCCATCCTATTAATCGCTGCGGGAAAACAGCCATTCATCCTGCTAATCGCTGCGTTAAAATACGCGAATGCTCGCGGCTCTGAGGCGAGAGCTGCATTGTGAAATGGAGCCGCCTTCTTCTTGTGGAGCCAGTGCAAACTTTTAAGGCGAACGAGCGCGACGCTACGGTCGAGGGTCGTTTTTTCGAAAACGACCCCGCTCCATACGTGAACGGCCCCATTCCACCCGTGAAGCTGTTGCAAACGTTTACGACGAATGTGCGCGACGCTGATGTGAGAGCCATCTTGTGAACAGGGGCCGCCTTTTTACCCGGTACGTTGCTACAAGCTGTCGAGGCGAGTGTACGTTGTGCTCAGACGAGAACCCGTCTTTGAACACGGCTTTCCGTCTACCCGTGAAGTTGTTGCAGACTTTACGTCGGTCGTGCGCGGCGCTATGGCGATAGCCACATCCTGAAAGGGGCGGTGCTCCATCCGTGAAGCTGCTGCACACCTTATAGACGAACGCGTGTGGTTTTTAGTCGAGAGCACCATTTTTGGACAACGACCCACCTTCCGTCCGTGAGAATGTTGCCAACGTTTAGGACGAATGTGCGTGGCGCTGAGGCGAGAGCCGCCTTTTGAAAGCGACGTTCCATCTGTCCGTGAATCTCTGTTTCAGGATTCAAACACGAGTGTGCGCCGTGCTGCAGGCGAGAGCGGCATGTCGAACAGGAACCGCTATCCATCCGCAAAGCTGCTGCGCACGTTTAAGACGAGGGCGCTCGGCGCGAAGGCGACGGCCGCATGTTTGAAAACGCATCCTCCATCCGCGAACCGGCTGCAAGCTTTTAAGACGAATGTGTGCGGCGCCATGGCGAAAACGACATTTCGAGTTGGAGCTGCTCTCTATCCGTGAACTGTTGTTGCAAACTTTTAAGACGAGCGTGTGTCGCGCTGAGGCGAGGGCCACATTTTGAAAACGACCCCACCTCCACCCGTGAGGCTGTTGCAAGTGCCAATGTTCAGAATCATAAGTGGCAATGGGGTCTCAGGCGAAACGCCCGGCCTGCCCTACGGATACGCCTGGAGGTGCGACAGGGAATAGTCATTTATAAAGAACAGGGATAAAGAAAGAGAAAGGAGGAGGAGCGAGGAGGAGAGAGAAGGAGGAGGAGGAGGAACGATTGGGGCGGCAGTCGACGACTCCTCACGCCGCCAGGAACCAGGAACCAGGAGGAGCGAGAAGGATGAGGAGGGGCGAGAAGGATGCAGGAGGAGAAGGGTGTCTGCTCGGTATGCCATTGTGTGGAGGAGTAGCCATTCCCTTGCCCTGCATTTGAATTCCAGCACTGCTGTTGCACTTACCTAGTTTCAGGTCTGGGGGAGGAGGAGGAGGAGGAGGAGGAGGAGGAGGAGGAGGACGAGGAGGAGGAGGAGGAGTCGCAGGAGAACAAGGAGGAGGAGAAAGAGGAGAAGAAGTGAGTAGGAGCGAGCAGGAGAAAGGAGGAATCTGAAGAGGAGGAAGATGAGGAGGAGGAGGAGAAGGAGGAGGTGCAGGAGGAGGACGAGGAGTCATTCCCTGGGGGGCGAGAGAAGCCGAGTGACGAAACTTGCTGCTTGCAGCTGGTTTCGGCCCGATGCCCAGCACCCGGTTCTGTCCTGTGCCTCGAGTGGCTGGGGAATCAGCTACGCGTGGTTGATTCGTTACCCCCTGTCGTCTTCCCCCCCGCCGCCCCCGATCCCTCTGCTCTTTTGTGCGACGTTCTGTCGGCGGAGAAAATGGCCCACCTTTCCCTTTTTCGCAGGGGCACAGAATAGACGGGTCCTTCTGTTCTTGCTCTTGACCTTCTTGTTCTGTCAGCTGATGCTGGTCCTGCCTGTCCTCCTGGTAGTGCTGCTCTCTCTCTCTCTCTCTCTCTCTTTCTCTCTCTCTTTCTCTCTCTCTCTCTCTTTTTTTTTTTCTCTCTCTCTCTCTCTCTCTCTCTCTCCATCTCCCTTCCAGGCGAAGCTTTCGTGTATGATGGGGGTTACGGGTGAGACGGTGATTGTGGGACATGTTACCTGCTTGGGATCAATCCGTTGGCTGCGCCGATCATGTAACTGTTGCTGGTATTGCCCTCCGTTCGCGGAAGAGCTTTTTTTCATAGCCCTTTTCGGACCCTGATGGAGCGCTGTCTTGCAAGGCAGCAGCCTTCGATTCATCCTTTTGCCTCGCTGGCTCTTGGAGGTCCTTGGGTTGTTCGTATATGCCCGATTTCTGTTCGCATCGTGCCATCGTCTTATGTCCTCCACTCCCTCATGGTCTCAGCTCGCTGGCGCCGCATCGCACGCGTTTGCAATAGTGGACTTGCGTGAACAAAGCCTGGGGCGTTTTCGTGCAAACGCCATTCCTGAGTCAGCCCGAGAGCAGAGAAAGAGAGAGAGAGAGAAACAACCTATACATATCGTCCTGACTCTGACACCGACCTTCTGTTTCCACTCCTGGGAGGTTGAATTCGCTCTTGGTTCTGGTCTTCGCCTGGCACTACTACAGTCTAGTCTGGCCGAGGTCAGCCTACCCAATCTGGGTTTATCTGGCTCAGTCTTGCTCAGGGGCTTCCCAGTCCGGCTCGATCGCCTCTCCCTCTGGCCTGCTCGCTCTTCATCGTGCCCGCGCAGACTTGCCGCTGCCGCTGCCGTTGCCGCCCAAGCATCCTCTGCTGATTGGCAGATTTCCACCGCCACTACTATATGTAGGACGGGGGGAGAGGGGAGGATGAGGAGGTCCTCCTCCTCCTCCTCCTCCTCCTCCTCTCGTCCTCCTCCTCCCTCACCTCCCTCTCCTACATGTGGCAGTGGTGGTGGAAACTGGGCCCCTCCTCTGCGCCTCGCGTGCCAGGCGCCGAGCGCACGGACGGCAGCCCGTGCGCTCGGTGCCGGGAGGACCTCCGGACCTCCAGAGGTCGGGAGCCTCGCGACGGGGGCCAATGCAAACGGGGGTCAGCCAGAGCGCCGGATCTTGCAGGATCCTGCAGGGCCAGGGTCGCACTGACCCGGGCTTGGGTGCAGGATCCTGCAGGATCTTGCAGGATCCTTCGCATCGACCCGGGTTTGGGTGCAGGATCTTGCAGGATCCTGCGAGGCCCGACTGACCCTGGTCTGGATTGACCCGGGTCAGCAGACCCCCGAAGAGGCCCAGCACTGGCGAGTGGCCGCCCAGACAGCCGCTGCCGCCTCGGCCTGCCAGGCGCCGACGCCACCATGGCCGGCCTGGTGCACCGGGCTGGCGCCACGGCGCCGGAGCAGCCGCCGCAGCCGAGGCTCGCGCAGGCGCGCGGCAGCACGGCTTCGCAGCCGCGAGGCCGCGCGCCCCGAGCGCCTTGCTTCCCTGCCCTTCGGCGCTCCGCGGGTTGGGGAGAAGGAGGAGGAGGGAGGAGGAGGGAGGAGGAGGAGGAGGAGGAGGAGGAGGAGGAGGAGGAGGAGGAGGAGGAGGAGGAGGAGGAGGAGGATCCCCTCCCCTACTTATGGTGGTGGCGGTGGAAAACAAGCCCACCATGGCATTGGTGAGGCAGGAAACATCAGTCCACTGCTCGACTCCCGCTGGTGATCGTTTTATTACCTATACGACCACCCTGCGGGTGATAAGGAGGTTGGGGGGGAGGGGGGCCAGCAATGGGCAACAGTTGTCCACTATCGATCCCACTATCAACCTCACTATCGATCTCACAAGCGATTATGGGACTATCGATCCCACTATCGATCTCACTCGATCGATCTCACTCTCGATCTCACTCGATCGATTTCACTGTCGATCTCACTCTGGATCTCCCTATCGATCCCACTAACGACCTCCCTATCGATATCACTCGATCTCACAGTCGATATCACTATTCATCTCACTATCGATCTCACTATCGATCTCACGATCGATCTCACCATCGGTCTCACTATCGATCTCACTATCGATCTCACAATCGATTTCTTTATCGGTTTCATTATCGTTTTCGCACCAGCGGGACACCGGGACACCGGCGGGACACCGGCGGGACACCGGCGGGACACCGGCGGGACACCGGCGGGACACCGCGGGCCACCGCTTGCCGGAGGGAGAATCATTTGGTCCGGCCGGGGCCCAGCCACAATCGGGACACCGGCGGGACACCGGCGGGACACCGCGGGCCACCGCTTGCCGGAGGGAGAATCATTTGGTCTCGCCGCGCCTCATCCACAGGAGACTTTCCTCTCGCCCGCCCACGCAGCTTCGCCTCGCCCGCAAGCACGGCACGTACGAACACGAAACCGAAACCGATTCCTGGTGGGGGGCTCTCCATTCCAATTCGATCTCACCCCCCAACCTCCGATTCATTGTTTTGCCGATCGGCGCGGGCCCTCGCACCCTTCCCTCCCACCCGTGGAGTAGGTCTTGGCTGTTTTTGGGCGCCTGTTTCGAGCCGCTGGAGCTTCTCCCCCATAGGACGCACTGTTGCAAACAGTCGCGCGAAGCAGAGGTCCGGAGCCTGCCACCCTCAGCTCGGGGTCAAAAAGTGTGCATGCCAGTCTGTTCTCTGCCCACCAGCAGGACCAGGAATGGCGCTCTGGTCGTGCGCGGGGGGGACGGGCAGGGGACCGGGAGGGAGGGGACACTCCTAGAATGCACCCAAATCCCCACGAGCCAGGCACAGTACGTGCAGTGCCGGGGGAGGCGGCCCGTCGCCCCACCCCGCCATCCTATAGGGGGAGGCGAGGGCCCTGGCGACGGGACGGGGTGGGCAGGAGCGGGCATCATGGCTGGCTCAAAAATCAAAAGAGGCATCATAGCCTGAACAGTGACACTTTGGACCGATCCACCCACGGGTCCAAAACCTCATTCTTGCAGCATTGGCTTCATTAATTGCATGCGTGGCATGCTCTCCGCCCCTCCCCCCCCCCCTTCCGCCGTCCGTAGCCGTTTTGGCTCCAGCCGTTTTGGCTCAAGCACCTTTGGGGGCTCCCGGCGCGCCTCCTCCTCCCCAGCCCGCCGCTCCTGCCCTCCCTGGCAGGCCCGCGCCTCCCCGCCGAGCTCCGCGAGGATGCCGGCGCGCCCCGACGCCGCCCAGGCCCTGGCCGCCGCGGCGGCCGCGGGCGCCCTGGGCCTCGCGGCCGCGCGCGGCGGCGGGAGCGCGCTCCTGGCCCCGCGGGGCCCCGCGGCGCCCCGGGGCCCCCCCGCGCGGCGGGCGGCCGCGGCCGCGGCCGAGGCGGCCGAGGCGGCCGCGGGGGCCTCGCGGCGGAGCGCGGGCGCGGCCGCCCGCCTGGCCGGCGGCGTGGCCGCCGGGGCGGCCGCGGCGGGCGCGGCCAGCGGAGCGGGCCGCCGGAGGAGGGGCCCGAGGGCGCGCGGGGCGGGCGTGGCCGCGCGGGCGTCGACGCTGGACCAGCTGAGGGAGGTGTCGGGCAAGGAGGGCATCGCCCTGGGGAGGTACCGCAACATCGGGATCATGGCGCACATCGACGCGGGCAAGACGACCACCACGGAGCGCATCCTGTACTACACCGGCCGCTCGGACAACATCGGCGAGGTGCACGAGGGCGAGGCCACCATGGACTGGATGGAGCAGGAGCGCGAGCGCGGCATCACTATTACGAGCGCGGCCACTACTGCCTTCTGGAACGGCCACCGCATCAACATCGTGGACACCCCGGGCCATGTCGATTTCACCCTGGAGGTGGAGCGTTCCCTGCGCGTCCTGGACGGCGCGGTGGCCGTGTTCGACGGCGTTGCGGGAGTGGAGCCCCAGACCGAGACGGTGTGGCGCCAGGCGAACAAGTACAACGTGCCCCGCATCTGCTTCGTGAACAAGATGGACCGCGACGGCGCAGATTTCTACAAGGACGTGCAGATGATGAAGAAACAGCTCGGCTGCAACCCGGTGCCGATCCAGCTCCCCATCGGCCAGGGCAAGACGTTCGCGGGTGTGTACGACCTGGTCTCCGAGAAATCTGTCACCTGGCTTGGGGATAAGCTGGGCGCGGAGTTCGAGGTGAAGGACGAGATTCCCGACGGCATGGCGGACGTGATCGCCGAGTACCGCGAAAGCCTCATCGAGACGGCCGTGGAGATGGACGAGCAGGCCCTCGAGGCGTACCTGGAGAGTGGTGAGCCGCCTTCCGTGGACGTGCTCAAGAAGTGCATCCGAAAGGGTACCCTCGGGTTCGACTTCGTGCCCGTCCTGTGCGGCACCGCGTTCAAGAACAAGGGCGTCCAGCCGCTGCTTGACGCGGTGGTGGACTACCTGCCCTCGCCGACGGATCTGGAGGACACCAGGGGTAAGGACCCCAAGGACCCCGACCAAGTCGTCTTCCGCAAGAACGTGGCGGACGAGAAGTTCTCTGGGCTTGCGTTCAAGGTGGCTGCGGACCCCTTCATCGGTACGCTGACCTTCTTGCGCATCTACTCTGGCTCCATCCAGTCAGGTGACACGATGATCAACCCGCGCACCAAGCAGAAGGAGCGCTTCGGGCGCATGGTCCTGATGCACGCGAACAAACGAGAGGAGATCAAGTCGGCCTCCGCTGGCGACATCATCGCCATCGTGGGCCTGAAGGACACGACCACGGGCGACACCCTGTGCGACATGAAGGACCAGATCGTACTTGAACGAATGGACTTCCCGGAGCCCGTGATCAAGGTCGCGTGCGAGCCGCTTACCACGAAAGACAACGACAAGATGATGGAGTCGCTGGCCAAGCTCGCCGCCGAGGACCCGTCGTTCCGGTACAGCCGCGACGAGGAGAGCAATCAGACGGTAATCGAGGGCATGGGTGAGCTGCACCTGGACATCATCGTTGACCGTCTCAAGCGCGAGTTCAAGGTCGACTGCTCCGTGGGCGCCCCGCAGGTGGCTTACCGTGAGACGATCACGAAACCGATCGAGAACTGGTACACGCACAAGAAGCAGAGCGGCGGGTCGGGGCAGTACGCCAAGATCAAAGTGTCCTACGAGCCGAACGAGGGCCAGGGATACGAGTTCGTGAACGAGACAACTGGCGCTATTATCCCGAGGGAATTCATCCCAGGGATCCTGAGGGGTACCGAGAACGAGATGCTGAACGGGATCCAGGCCGGCTTTCCAGTGGTCGACGTAAAGGTGAAGCTGATGGATGGGCAGGTTCACCCCGTCGATTCCTCGTCAATTGCCTTCGAAATCGCCGCGCGCTATGCGTGGAAGGAGAACGCCAAGGAGTGCGGCCCGAGGATACTGGAGCCAGTGATGAAGGTGGAGGTGACCACCCCCGAGGAGTACATGGGCAACATCATCGGCGACCTCAACAGCAGGCGCGGCATGGTGGCAGATATCGCTGACCGCGGCAATGTAAAGGCGATCACCGCCAACGTCCCGTTGTCCGGCATGTTCAGCTACATCGCGGCCTTGCGCTCCAACTCGAAGGGCCGCGCCACTTACTGCATGGAGTTCGGCGAGTACAAGCAGCTACCCGACAACCTCGCCGCCGAGGTCATGGGCAGGTAGGCGCCGGGCGGGCCGGGGACGGTGGGGAGCGGGGGGAGGAGGGAGGAGGGAGGAGGGAGGAGGGAGGAGGGAGGAGGGAGGAGGGGGGGCACACGCCCGCGGGGAGCGGGAGGCTCTGGCCCGGGAGACCGTCTGGCCGCTGGCAGCGGCAGCACTCGGCACCAGAGGCTGTGCGCCGCCGCATTCTGTATAGCTCTCCGGATATGCGATGTCGTGGAGATTTCTCACGTGAAGCACAATTTTCAGGGCACCAGCAGTTTCGGCACCACATATGCTGTGCGGCAGTGCGTTGTGTACAGTTCTCTGGGTATAACTCCGTCGTGGCATGCGTCATCTGGTACACAGTTTTGCGATGATCAGCACCTCTGCTCGCGCGCTCTCCAAATGGCGCTTTTTCGACAGAGGCTTGCTGTTTCGGGCAACGCCATTTTTGAAGGCGGTGCTCGTTGATTCGAGAGTTGGTCAATGCCGGACACGTTCTCCATTTGGCAAGTTGGTCCCTCTCAGGGCTCCGACGCCGTGCCTCGTGGCGCGAGAAGAAAAGGCGACTCCGTCGCCTCCCACTGACTCTCCTGCCATCTCCTCCCCTCCCAGCCACCGCCTTCACCCTGCCCGCGTCCATTCACCCTGGTGCTGACGCTCAGCGCTCGTGCTCCCTCCTCCTCCTCCTCCTCCTCCTCCTCCTCCTCCTCCTTCTCCTCCTCCTCTTCCTCCTCCTCCTCCTCCCTCCCTCCCTCCCTCCCTCCCTCCTCGAGAAGTGCGACCTGATGAAGTCGAGTAACCTCCGCACCTTCGGCGACGCCATCCGATCCCACCAGGTGATCCTCACAGGCGGCGGCCCGCCATGTGAAACGTGGAGCGCGGCGAGATGGTCGGACATGCCAGGGCCGCCGCCGCTGAGGACTCACGACGAGTACTGGGGGGTGCCGCTCGCCACCCCCAAGCAGAGGCTGCAGCTGGCGGTCGGCAATGCGCTGCTCCAGGCCATGGTGCAGCTGATGGCGGACCACCTGGCAGCAGGCAGCGCGGCGTGGATGGAGCACCCCATCCCGGCGCACTGGCGCCGCGAGGCTGTGACGAGCTGGACGTGGGAGCCCCTCTTGGCACTCCAGTCGTGCCCAGTCGTCAGCACCACGGACTTCGACCAGTGCGAGCATGGCGGCAAGGCAGGCAGGGCACCGACGAGGATCGTCGGCGTGCGGGTGAGCGGCCTGCATCGACGCCTGAGGGCGACGCCCGGCCAAGGGCGTTGCTCGCACGGACGCGGAGCGCACTCAGTGCTCCTGGGTAAAGCAGAGACGGGGGGGGAGTTTAAAACGGCGGCCAAGAAGGTCTACCCCCCCGGCCTTTGCAGGGCCCTTGCCGAGTCGGTTGTCCAGACGGTTGCGGATTTTGCGGCCCTGGAACCTGGGGCCGGGTCCCAGACCGAGCCGAATTGTCCTGAGGTGGAGGGTCTTCGGGATTTTTTCGTCGGGTCCATTCCTGAAGAGGGAGTTGCTTGGGCGCCGGATTTTCGGGCTGGGCCTCGGAGCTCTCGACCTGATCCCGAGAGGGAGCGCTTCAGGCGCCCTCTGGTCCTGGCGTTCGCGGGGTCCCAGTGTACCCCCCCTGGCCCCAGCCAACCGCCAGGCAGCCAGGCCCCCAGGTTGGACCCCCCCGAGGACCACACCCAAGAGGACCTTTACGTAGGCTCCGTTGGGCTCGCTTCTCCCTTTGTTCCCCCTGCCCCGCCTCCCTCGCCTCTCCCGCCCCCTCCCCCCCTCCTCAGCGAGTCCCAACGCGAGCGAATTCGAGCGAACCGAGCCGAGGCGATGAGGCGACGCCATGTAAGACGTGCCCCATGGATCGCACAATCAGGCTTTGCGTTCCTCTTCTAGCTTTTGCTCCCCCCCTTTCCCAAGGGCTGGTTGAGCGCATAGCACGCCCGATGGGTGTGCTATGCCCGACGCGCGCATCAGCGGCGCGTGTCGGCTTCCTTTCGGCGTGTCGATTTACGACCGAGGCCGCAGTGATCCCGCTGATCCCTCCCTCCTCCTCCTCCTCCTCTCTTCCTCCTCCTCCTCCTGCCTTTCCCCTCCCTCCCCCCGCCCCTCCTCAACCGTCCCGCCGGGCACCGCAGCGCGTGCTGTTGTACGGCTCTCACGCCAGGCGTTTTGTTCCTGCCTTGAGCTGTGTCTTCAGCGATTGCCGGCCAAGCTGCCTGTTGTGGAGGGCGGTGTTTTCATCTGGAGGGTACGGTTCATTGCGCCAACATCGCAGAGCTCATTCCGTTCGGAAAGCGATCGGATGGGCCTGGAGTGTCCTTGAGAATTTCGTTCCGGATTTCTAGGTTAATTTCGTGCGGATTCTTTTGGGTCAGGAATGAAGACGAAACAAACAATCCACGCGAATTCATTTCGTCTTTCACTCGCCGTTTTGGGGTCTTGAATTGACAGAAATCCACGCAGAAATCCGCTGCAGCACGTCTGCAAGGCTGGTACAATGATTCGGTTGTCACGAGAGCAGGAGGTTTTTCGGCTTGCGTCCCGGCCTTCTTCCTCCCCCTCGTTCTCGTTATAGCACATGCCCTGCCCCTCCTTCCCTTTTCCGCCCCTCCACCCGAGAGCCCCGTCGGGCACCGCAGCGCGACTTGTACGACTCTTACGCAAGGTTTTGCTTGTCTCGAGCAGTCTGTCGTCGCCTATAGCGATTGCCGATTAAGTTGCCTTTTGTGGAGGGTGGAGGTTTCAGTATGGATCTGGGGGGTAGCATTGGTAGTTCATCCGTGCTCCTCCAGCCTTTGAGTCTGGAGGGAACGGTTGTTACAAGAGCAGGAGGTCTTCGGTCTGCGTCCCAGCCTTCTCTGTCGTTCTCTTTAGCATTTCCCCTCCCTCCCTCCGCCCTCTTTCCCGAGTGCCCTGGACGGGCACAGCGAGCCATCTGTCGCGGCCGTTAGCGTTTGCAGTCCAGTCGCCTATTATGGGAGGCAGTGAGGATCGTGGAGTGCCAGGACTCCTTGCTTCGGTCCGACGCGTTCCGTCCGCTCTGCCGCGGGGGTCCAATCGCACTGTATTGAACTTGCGTTCTTGGTGCCCGTGCAGGTGTCTCAGCTTCTTCGTTCAGCCAGCTTGTCTGCCTGTGCTTTAAAGTCATCTGCTAGATGTCGAAAACGCCGAATCAGAAAACGTTCACCTGTCCACTGCTCGACTCTCGCTGCGATTTCGGACCGCTTCCGATTCGGCCCGCCGCCGCCATCCTTGCAATCGATTGGCCATGCCGCCGTTTTGTCCCTACGTTTGCCGTCCGAGCCCATCGCCTGTCAGCGCATGATTTGCACCACCGCGCGAAGACACGGGTGCCCAGAGGCCCACCAATGACGCAGGCCCACTTTTCGGAAGGCGCGTCAGCGGGATAGCATCCCAGAACAAAGGCCGTAATTCCGACCAGCACTTGCGCACCAGTCGAACCCACGCAGTGAGAGCAATCAGCGCTTGGATGTCTAAAGTGATGCCGCAAGCGGAGCATGCACGAGGCTGGCCCGTGCACAAACTGTGGGGTATGTTGTGCAGCAACCGGCTGCTCCCGGGTAATGGCAGCCAGTACGACTTCGACGTCGGACACCACGGCGACAAGCTCGTTAGCTCCCCTGGACCAACATCCGCCAGGACCTCAGCCATGTTGTCGAGGTTATCGCAGCAACGGCCAAACAAGAAGCACATCGAGATCGCTACGGGCACAGGCCACCGACGAGCCCATGAGGAGTCTCCAATCTCGCCCCAACTTTTGACATCAGGTGGATCTCGGCGGACAGATCCACCGAGCTCTTGCAGGAGCTTCCCCTGCTGCTCACAGGTGGTCGCCCTGGAGCCGCCGTGGCGATCCTGGCGACCCTCGCTGGGTTCCCCGAGGAGCTGCGCTCCGGGCCGTCGTCGTCGGGTGGGCAGCCCGCGAGCCCGACTCGGACAGTGCCATGGTGATGCTTTGTGTGGAGGGCGGTGTGGACTCCTTCACCATGCTGGCGCCGCTCTGCGCCGCCCTTTTCGGCGGGAATGTGGCAGTGCGCGGAGACACACATTGTCTTCGCGTCGAGCGAGCTCAGCGATGATCTCGCCGCCAGAGCAGGCTTGCATCTCCAGTGTCCATCGCAAGCTGCACTTCGTTTGCGAGGCTGTGGTAGCCCGGGCTGCGCTCGGGGCTCCTCGCGCGTGAACCAGATGAACGCCACCCTGGCGCTCGGGACCACAGCTCACACTGACAAGTGCCTGCAGTGCTTCAGTATGCTTTTTTGTCCAGTCGTTCCGCCAAACGCTGCTCCTTCCTTGTCTCTGTTGCAGGCGGGCGCGGCATTGTACGTTCGGGAGGCGCCACCGCTGCTGCACCTTCTACTGCTCAGGGCTGGAGCGGCGCTGCATCTTCGGGAGGCGCCCCTGCCGCGCCTCGTGCCGGAGCCGTGGCCAGCAGTCCTCCCGTGCTTGGCGGCACATGGCAGCTCTCGCAGGTGGTCGGAGCCTTCCGAGGGGAGGAGGACAACCGAGCGCCTTTCGCTGCCATCCGCTCTGCGGAGCCTGGCGACTCCGGCTAGCGCTTGCTGTGCAGGGGGCTCGTCTCAGCCCCGCTTGAGGTCTCCCTGGCCTCTTGGCTGTGATTCACTTTTCTGTCAGACTGGCCCTTTCACCCTTTTCGGCGCCCAGTCCCCCTGGGCCTGGGCGCCACTCAGTCTGTTGCTTCTCCCCCCGCTGTATTAGACCTGTTGCCACCCTAGATTTTGTTCGGCTTGAACCAATTAGCATAACAAAACCCTTGGCCCTAATAACAAATGGACTCGTGGCCTGACTTAGGTCCACTGCTTTGAGGGATATTCCTAAACATGTGGGTGGTTTCGTCTGGCACATCCTGCAAACAACGACCCCCTACCTCTAATGTTTTCGGCCCTCCTAACCCTGGTCCCCCCCCCAAAGTATTAGGGGTGTTTTCATGTCTTATCGTTGTCAGAGCCCCCAACGTGGAGTTCCAACAAAAACCTGTGGGGCGGAGCCAGCAACACCACGTCTGGCATGGCACGCGCTGTTTCTCTGGGAAGCTAGGTGAAGTGTGAAATCTTATTCTCCCCGCAGCAAGAGGAGGAGGAGGAGGAGGGGAACGATGAGGACGATGGTGGTGGTGGTGATGATGATGATGCCGATGATGATGATGCTGATTATGGTGATGCTGCTGCTGCTGCTGCTGATGCTGCTGATGGTGATAATGATAGTGGTGGTGGTGGTGGTGATGGTAATGATGATTGTGGTGGTGATCATGTGGATGCTGATATGTATAGTGATGCTGATGTTGATGCTGATGTTGATGTTGATGCTTGTGCTGCTGCTGATGATCCTGCTGCTGCTAATAATGACCGTTATTGTGATGCTGCTGCTGCTGCTGATGATGCTGATGATGATGATGATGATGATGATGATGATGATGATGATGATGATGATGATGCTGATGCTGATGCTGATGCTGATGATGATGATGCTGATGATGATGATGATGATGATGATGATGATGATGATGAGGATGATGATGATGATGATGATGATGATGATGATGATGATGGTGATGGTGATTATGGTGGTGGTGGTGGTGATGATGATCGTGATGGTGGTCGTGACTGTGATGGAGAAGGTGCAGGAGGATTTGGTGAGGAGGACGATGAGGCAAAATATGGGGGAGGAGGTGATGGAGGAGGAGGGTAAGGAGGAGAAGGGGAGAGCCGCCCACCCCTCCCAATCTCTCCCATTCTGGTCGCTCCCTCCCCTCCTCCCTCCCTCCTTCCTCCCTCCTCCGTCCTCCCTCCTTTCCTTCCCCCATTTCCCTCCTCCTCCCCCCTGTTCCCCCCTGCCCTTTTCCCCCGTTCCCCTCCTCCCCTCCTTTGCCCGCCCTCGTCCCCTCGCCTCGCCCTCCCCTTCCCCGTGCCCGCCCCGCCCATCCCCTCTGCCACCGCTTCGGCCGAGGTCACCCGCACGTGGGGAGCTCCTGGGCCCCGCGCGCTGCCCCGGCCGAGTGGGCACAGAGGCGGGCGGAGGGGGGAGCTGTGGCGGGACGCCCAGGCCGAGGACGTCACGCGGGAGTTGGGGCGATCCCCGGCACCCGTGCGTCGTGAAGAGAATCACGACGGGCGTTTTCTCCCCGTGCCGGGCCCCGTGACCTTCTTGGACCGATCCGGCGCGTCGAGAGTTCCCGATCCCGTGTCGTCTTTTCAACGGCGTCGGGCATCGGGGTTTCACGCCACTCCCTCCAAGGCGGTTGGATGCCAACGCCAGCCCTTGTGTGGCCGCGTGTGTATCCAGCGCGTGGCCTGTGCATGCTCCGCATGTTGGCACTGGCACAATTTTCGGCCGAGCTCTGTCGGTTTCGAGACGCTGGAGTCGGCGTTTTGGAGCGAACGCGCTGGTTTTGGCCAGAATTTGGGTCCTGGATGGGCTGGGGTGATTGTGTTCCCCGCGCTCGCCTCTCGGAACACCGCTGGCGTCGAGGACGACTCCAGCCTTGTGTGTCCGAGCTCCTCGGGCTCGTTTCGACACTGACTCATTTGAAGCGAGCGGCGTCTACCCAGCATTAGTCTCGGCGGCGCGCAGACGGGGGTGACCTTCCAAAAGGGCGGGGTGCTTCTTAGAAGGCTCCGGAGGGTTCTTAGACGGCCTTCTAGAAACCCACTGGTTTCTTCGACTGCCCCCCCCTTCGGCGCCACCTCCTTCTCCCCTGGCATCGCTCGGACGTGTGCGTTTTTTTCTCGGCGAGGACCATCGAGCTAAAAAAGAAACACGCACGAAAGCGAACATGCACGGGGACTGGACGTCCGAGCACCTGCAAGCTGCGCGCTGTCGCCAGCCGCTGCAGCCTTCGGACACCGTCCCCGTCGTCATCGTCACCAGTTTGGGCGTGGCGAGGGGTCTTCCGTGCCAGCCGCCGTCGCCGCTGCAGGCCCTCTTGCTCTTTTCCCCCCCCACCCCTCCTCTCACTTTGGCCCTCCCCTTCGCCTCGCCTCCTCCCCCCCTCCCCCTTCTCCTCTCCTCCTTCTCCCCTCCCCCTCTCAACCTCCCTCGTTTTCTCATCTTTCCCCTCGCCCGCCCGCTTCCCCTCCCACTTTTATTACTACGGAATGAATTTTGCTTTCCTCTCTCCCCAGATCATGCGCCAGCGTTCTTCCACCTCTTCGGCGCATCGTTCTCACACGGAGGGGTTCAAAGGTTGATCGGAGGTTTGGGGGGTGGGATCAAAGGGAGACGTGAGCTGCCCCCACCGGGAAATCATGTTGTTTTGTTCGTGAAGTGCGGGCTGGCGAGGTGGGGCGAAGCTGCGCGAGTCTCTGCCCTTTTTAGAGCTTGGTCAGGCCAAAATGAGCTGCACCGTGTCGGGATCGTGGTCCCTGGCTGCCGCTGGATTGTCCCGGTGGTTGTCCCGATGGTTGTCCCGATGGTTGTCCCGATGGTTGTCCCGATGGTTCTTCCGACGATTCTCACGATTGTTGTTTCGTTGGTTGTCCCGACGGTTGTCCCGATTGATTGTTGCGCGGATGGTTGATGTTTGTACCCATGGTTCTCGCGTTGTCCCGATAGATGGCCGCCCCGATAGATGGTTGTCCTGATGGTTGTCCTGATGGTTGCCCAAATGATTGTGTGGATGACTGTCCCGTCCCGGCGATTGTCCCGACGGTTGTCCCGATGGTTCACCCGATTGTTGTCCCGATGGCTGTTCCGATGGTTCTACCGATGGTTCTCCCGATGGTTCTCCTCCTGGGCTTCCTCCTCTTTCTAGTCGTCGTCCTTGGATTCCTACTCCCCTCTTTTTACTTCGCCTAGTCCTCCTCTCATTCCTCTATCGTGGTGGGTTTTCTCACCTCTCGTTCGGCCGCGTGGACCCCGAATCAGGCAGATAGTCGTTTGCTGGACTCCAAACAGTCGAAGATTTTGGCCTGGATGCTGAGGCTCAAGAGGCTACCACATGAGGGAACCAGGGCTTTCTGCACTGGGCGTGCGCGTAGGGTTCGGGGGCTCCTACAGATCCAGCGGGCTCGGATTATCCTCCTGTCTGTCCTCTCATGGTTGTCCCGCCTCCAAAGGCTCCAGGGCTCTTTATTTTATCAGTGTTTCCTCGAGCAGGGAGCAGGCTGGTTTGCCAGCCAGCGCCGCCACTGGGCTTCCCCAAACAGCCGTAGCAGTAGGTCTTCACTCGTAGTGCGAGCGGCAGGGTGATTCGCTGGGACAGCGGGTGGGCCGATACGTTCGACCCCGACGTCTCCAGAGATCCCCAGCTCTTGAATGCCCTATCGTTCCGCCGCCTGTCTCACCTCGGTGGAGAGGGGAAGGTGCCGGCACGCTAAGCTTTCAGTCTCGTGGGGTTGTCAGGGGTCTGCTCTGGGGAGCGCCTTGCTCCTTCTCTCCTCCTCCACGCTTGGCGTGGCCCTTGGCCTCTTGCGCAGTGACATTCCGTCAGAGGGTCAATGTCTGATTCGACATGTGGATTGGCGACTCGGAACATATCGATCACAGTGGAACAGGATACGGGGAGGGGTAGAATGTCAGATTTGGCTCGAGCAGGCTCAGTTTGCCCCCTCTCACCCCCTCCTCTCCCCACTCTCGCCCCCTCCCGGCACTCCGTTTTTTCCCATCCCCTCCGTCGCTCCACTCCCTCCCTTCCGTCCTCCTCCCTGCAGGTTTGCAGCATTCTCACGGGATCGACTCTTGGGACGGATTTTCTGGTGTGATGAGGTGTTTTTTTTGACCGCAGATCTTAAGATCATGACATGGGTCTACCGTGGTACGCCACCACAGCTCTTCTGGTGCAACCTTGGGTGACAATCGCCCTTGGTGTTGTAGCTTCTGCTATATAGCCTCCCTCGGACCCGACCTGGACGTAATTCTGCTCCTTGTAATTTGGTGCAAGCAATCGTCATCGTCGTATTGAGCGGCATGGTTGGCACACCGTGCAACATGTGATCTGAAATGGATTCAGTTCTTGTGCAGCTTGAGGCTCTTCCTACCTCCGATTTCACCGTACATGTAGTTTCAACGCTCTCGCTGGTTACTGTGGAAGACCCATTCATGATGCTTCGCGTACCACCACCAGCCCATACAGAAGCGATCGTTGGGCGAGTTGCCCTGATCAGGGACCTGTAGAAGCATGCAGTTGAACAGCTGCTCGGAAGGATCCATGCTTGTGCCTTCTTGGTGCCCTCTAGGGGTCTTCTTGGGGCTCTCCCGGGACGTTCTTGGGGACAGCGAGGAGGAGGAGGAGGAGGAGGACAAGGACGAGGAAGAGGACGAGGATGATGAAGAAGGAAATGATGATGGTGACGATGCTGCTGCTGATGATGATGCTGCTGATGATTATGATGATGATAGTGTTGCTGCTGCTGATGATGATGACGCTGATGGTAATGATGCTGCTGGTACTGCTGATTGTGATGATGCTGATGGTGATGCTGATGGTGATGATGATGCTGAGTATGTTTACGATGTTGGTGATGATGAGGATGGTGATGATGATGCTGATGATGATGGTACTGGTACTGAGGATGCTGATGCTGATGCGAGCGTTGCCGAATATGAAGCTGATGCTGATGACGATGCTACTGATACTGATGATGATGTTGATGCTGATGCTGATGATGCTGATGCTGATGATGATGACGATGAGGATGATGCGGGTGGTGCTGTTGCTGCTGATGCTGATGTTTGGTCATGGTGTAGGTGATGATGCTGATGATGCTTCTGCTGATGATGATGCTGGCGATGATGATTATGCTGATTCTGATGATGGTGATGCTGACGATGCTGCTGATGATGCTGGCGACGATGCTGACGACGATGATGATGACGGCGATGTGGATGATGATGATGATGATGATGATGATGATGATGATGATGATGATGATGATGATGATGATGATGATGATGATGCTGACGATGATGATGCTGATGATGATGATGCTGATCATGATGATGCTGATGGTGCTGATGCTGGCGATGATGATGCCGATGACGATGATGACGATGATGAGGATGGTGGTGATGATGACAAGGAGGAGGATGTGGAGGAGGACGAGGAGGATCAAGATGAGGATGAGGATGAGGATGAGGATGCGGAGGAGGTGGATGAGGAGTACGATGACCAAGGTAATCCTGAGGGCGAGGACGAGGACGATGAGGAGGAGGAGGACGAGCATGAGGAGTATGTGGACGAGGACGAGGAGGATGAGGTGGAGGAGGAGGAGGAGGAGGAGGAGGAGGAGGAGGAGGAGGAGGGGAAGGCCTACGAGAAGGATGAGGAAGAGAAGGAGGAGGGCGACGGCCAAGACGAATGCGAGGACGAGGACGATGACGAGAACACGAAGACGAAGAGGATGATGAGGAGGAGGAGGAGAAGGAGGAGGAGGAGGAGGAGGAAGAGGTAGACGAGGAGGACAATGAGAACGGAAACTCCTGGAGCCAGCTTGGAGTCGTTGGGGGTCCCCTGGCTGTGGGTTTTCGTCAGGTCCTCCTGGGGCGCTGTTTGGCTCTCGTGGAAGCTTCTGGGTTCCTCATGGGGCTCTTTGAGGGCTCTGCGGGGGGCCCTCTGGGGGCCCTCCTGAGGGCCTTTTGGAGGCCACGGAGGGCTTTTTGGGGCCACTCGAACAAAAGAGAGGGGGGGGGGTCCCTGATTTCCGTCCCCCCTCCTCGTTAGGGGTCATCAACGTCGCTCCGCGTGAGTCGCCCACGGGCATTCGCATTGCCAGCGGTCGTCTGCGGATGGGCAGCTATTTACCAGCCTCGAACGTATCCCTATCCCTAAGATTGTCACGCCAAAAGGCGATGCCAATCTTAGGGATTCGCCCTCAAAAAATAAGGGAATCCCTAAGATTGGCATCGTGATGAGGAGGTGCCCAGCATAGGGATAGGGATATGTTCCAGGCTGGTAAGCTAGTGGGAATCAATGGAGGCCCCGTGTGCCCGACGCTGGGGCGCGCGCGCCTGGCGCGCCGCGCGCGCCAGGTGCGCCAGGCACCCCCGGGGGCCCAAGCGTGCCGGGCACGCCTGGCGCGGCAGATGCGCCTTGTGCTCCACGTGCGCCATGTGCGCCGCATGGTCCAGCCACGCCAGGTGCAGCCACGCCAGGCGCGCCACTGTCGGGGCACGCGCGGAGTGTGCTGGGTAACACGTCGGCCCCCACCATCCATGCCGAAAGCCAATGCACAGTCGCGGCGGGGAGGCCAGCATGGTGTCTGGTGAGCTTGCGCACAGCAGGCAATACGCCATCCCCCCCCGCCGTTCTTCCCAAGAACAGATGGACATCTATGGCCGGGTGGTCGAGCATGATCCAGATTTAGCCGCGAAGAGCATGTTGTTTTGTGACAGGGGTGGTGGCCTTGCGCACATCAGGCAATACAATAACACCACCGCCGTCCTTGTCCAAAAGCAATTCAAAGTGCTCGCGGAGCCCACGAGCATGACCCACGATGTTGCCCCAAAGCGTATGCTGTAATGTTCCCAGCCGTCCTGTGGATTTGGGTCCCCGCGTCTCATTCCTTCCTTCATTCCTGTCCTCCTCCCCCTCCCCCCATCCCAGATTCCATCCCTGCCTTTGCCCTCCGCATGTCACTGTTTCGGCACACCCCTTACACGTTTCGTGGCAGCGCCTGCATTCGGTTCCAACCCCCATTCCGGTACACCCCTCACACGGTTTGTGACTCCATTGGGAGCTCCACTTGAGGCCCCAGTGGCAGCGCCCGCATGCAGTTCCACGTTCCATTTCGGCGAACCGATCACACGGTTCGTGGCCTCATAAGGCGCTCCACCTGAGGCCCCAGCGGCAGCGCCCGCATGCGGTTCCAACCCGAATTTCGGCGAACCTTTTACACGTTTCGTGGCCCCATGCGGAGTTCCACCTGCGGCCCGAGTGTCAGCGCCCGCATGCGGTTCCACCCATATTCCGGTGCACCCCTCACACGTTTCGTGGCCCTGTAAGGAGTTCCACCTAAAGTCCGAGTGGCAGCGCCCGCATGCGGTTACACGTTCCATTTTGGTGAACCCCTCACACGGTTCGTGGCCCTTTAGGGCGCCGAAGGACCCAATGGTAGCGCCCGCATGCGGCTCCACCTTCAATTTCGGCGAACCCCTCACACGCTTCGTGGACCATGGGGGGTTCCATCGAAGGCCCCAGTATCAGCGCCAGCGTGGAGTTCCATTTTCCATTTCTGCACACTACTCAGACGTTCCATGGCCCCATAGGGAGCTCCTCCGAAGGCCTCAGTGGCAGCTCCCGCATGCGGTTCCACCCAATTTGCTGTGCACCCTTCGCACGTTTTGTGGCCCCACATGGAGCCCCACCGAAGGTCCAGTGGCAGCGCCCGCATGCTGTTCCACCTTTCATTTCGGCGTTCCCCTCATACGGTTCGTGGCCTCATTGAGAGCTCCACCGAAGGCCCCAGCGGCAGCGCCCGCATGCGATTCCACCCTCCATTTCGGCGAACCCCTTACACGGTTCGTGGCCCCATAGGGAGCTCCACCTGCGGCCCCAGTGGCAACGCCCGCATGCGGTTCCACCTTCAATTTCGGCGAACATCTCACATGTTTTGTGGCCCCATAGGGCGCTCCACCGAAAGCCCCAGTTACCCCTGTTGCTGGCCCCCTCCTTCATTTGATTTTCCTCGCGATGCTCGAAGGCTCCAGTGGCAGCGCCCGCATGGCGGCCCCGCTTAATTTCGGCACACCCTCCACGCGCTTCGTGGCCCCATGAGGGAATAAACTGACGGCGATGCTCACAACGACGGTACTCACAAGTGCACACGGTTGGGTCCTTCGACTGGCTAGTTTTTTGACAGGGAGGTGGGGGGGTGTTGTCATTGTTCCTGGTTGGCTGCCGGTCGTTTGGGGGAGGGGGTGTTTGTTAATAAGGATCAGTGATCAAGCTACCCCCAGACGCAAGCTGTGTCGCTCACTCCCACCCGGCCTCCCACTTTCTAAGTGGCACCTGTGTCTCCGCACAGGCAGGGGCGGCCATCGACAACCATCGGGAATCAATGCAGACGCCAGCGATGCCCGCGAGGTGCGCCGCACGTGCCAGAGCCAGGTGCGCCACGCGCACCAGGTGCGTCACATTCCCGCAATGCCGCCCCACCCGCCGTCTCTGGCAATGTGAACTCTGCATTGCATGTTGACAGGGATGGTGGGCCTGCACGCAGCAGGCAATATGCCTGCCCCACCGCCGTCCCAGTCAAAAACCATTGCAAAGTGATCGTGGGGCGTCCGCGCGTGATGCAGATTTCTGTGCAAAGTACACATTGTATTGTTTGTTGCTAGGAATGGTTGGGACGTGTTGGCATTGTGCAGGTCAGGCAATCTGTCGGCCCCCCCTCTGTCCTTGCAAAAAAAACAATACGAAGTGATCGCGGGGCGTCCGCGCATGATCCAGATTTTGGTGCAACATGCGTGCACTTTGCATTGTTTTCTGCAACGGATGATGGGGGATGTTGGCATTGCGCACAGCAGGCAATATGCCAGCATCCCCGCCGGCCCTTTCAAACACCAATGCAAAGTGGTCGCGGGGCGTTCGCGCATGATTCAGATCTTTGTGCACCTTGCATTTTGTGTTGTTTTTTGGCCAGGCTGGCGGTTAGGGGGTCGACATGGTCCCGTGTTTATCGCCAGTCGGGTGGAGGAGGGGGTGTATATTCACATGGAACGGTTGTGTAAAGCTCCTCCCCGAGGGGGAATATGGTTTTGGAAGAGGACAGCAATTGTTAGACCACCTACGCCCAGAGGGGCTGGTGGGAGTCCAGACGCTTTGCGAGCCAGACTCGGTGCCCAGGCAAGTTGCCTTGATCAGGGAAGTGTAGAGACACGCAGTTGAACAAAGAGGGGTAGCCGTCAAACCGAAGGTCGGGATCAGTCCTAGCAGACCCAGGAGTCAACTATAAATGCATTCGCGATTCTTTCGATATGGGAGCGTCTTGGCAGCTTCGGGCTTTCTTGGAATCTTGGTGATGTTCTCTTGGGGCCCTCTTTGGAGCCTTTCGGACACTCTTGGGGCCATCTTGGAACCCCCGAGCAAACACAGGAAAAGTCGACTTTTGCGGTCCCCTTGAGGCGCTTTTTGGGCGCTCTTGGGGACCTTCGTAGACGTCTTGGAGCCTGCATGGGCACCTCTTGTGGCTCTCTTGGGAGTTTTTGGAGCCATCTTGAGGCTTTAAACGCCAATCGGAAGCGAAACGGCGAGAATGCTCACATGCTACTGCATTCCTGGGTGTTCGGATGACTTGGGCCTCGGGAGTACACGTTGGGCCGTCTTGGGGCCTTTGGGATGTATGCAGGAGGTTGCATTGAGCCAAGTTGTGCCATCTTGCGCAGTCTTGGAGGCCATCTTAAGGCGCGTATGGCCATCTTGCAGCCATCCTGGCCCAATAGCCTCTAAGGGTGACCTCGAGAGACCAGCGTATTGTTTTCCAATAGTTTTGACATTTAGCGAAGGGGCGGTGCAATTTGCCGCCCCCAGTCAGGGTCTGAAGAATCGCCTCTTGAGGCCCTGTTGGGGCGCTCTTGGGGCGCTCTTGGAGCCGTCGTGGACCTCTTATGGGCCCTCTTGTGGCTCTCTTGGGCGATCGTGGAGCCATCCTGAGGCCTCGGAACCCTTTCGGAAGCAAAATGCCGAGAGGCTCCGCGTGCGCACCGATTTGCCGGGCGAGCGACGAAGGGTGACGACCACGAGGACGCCCAGGACGACATCGCAGACGACGACATCGTCGACGATGACGACGACGACGACGACGACGACGACGACGACGACGACGACGACGACGACGGCGACGGCGACGACGACGACGACGACAAGGAAGACGAGCGAAACGCGGCC